AGCGAGATTCGGCCGCCCAAACTTCCCCTTCCAACGCCGCGCCGTAGCAACCGCCACGCGCCGGCCGCTACCGTACCGCGAACCTCACCCACAACAACAGCTAACTAGTTTTAAGTTTGCAGAATTATTATTAATTATTATTTATTTTTATTATATTATAAAATATTTTTTACGTACTCGCGTTGTTGCGATACCGAGGTCTCGTGCACTTACATTATTACATACGTTATTTTACGCGATTTATTGTTACAAAACAACAGCTACGCAAAAATATGTACCTATTATTACTATTTTAATACTATAATAATTATTATTATTATTAAATAATTGTATTATTAATATAAATTTATAATTAATAATTATATGTATATTATATAATTATAAACATTTTTATTTTATTTCTATTTTTATAGAATTATTATTCACAAATAAAAATAATGAATAGAAAAAATGTAATCCATAAATATAATGTATATAATCCTCAGTATATCACTGTAAAACGTGCTTCGGAAAAATAATTGAAATCCTCAAAAAAACTACTTCGGAGAAGTAAAAATGGCTTTCTGTGCTTAAGTTGATGAGATTGAAAGAAAAGATAGAACTTTGGTGTTAATAAAGATGTGAAATCAATCTCAAAGTTCTGTGCCAAAAAGGGCCACGGTTGAAAAAATAGAATTTGGGGCTTAATAAAGAAGTGAAATAAATACCCAAATTATGTGCCTCAACTTGAAAAAATATCTTATTCAAAAAAATTTCAAGATGTTCAACTGTACAAACATTAAAAAAAAATATTATCACAGAACGGCGTACAATAATGATGAATTAATAAAATTAGCCATAAATCGGAATTGTCGACTTGTTTACGAGTTAATTTGTCTGATTCGAATTTTTGTTGACAAACTGTAATTCACGCCGTTCTGTGCTAATATTTTTTTACATTTTACGACATGGATTTCATTGTTGACGAAATGCTGTCCGCAGAAGTAGAACCTGCCATCATTAATATTGGTAATTCCTCTACAGAGTTCGAGTCTGATTAATTATATTTTTATGTTTTTTTTTAATTTTGATTTTTTTTTTATGTGTAATAAAAAAAGAAATATTAAACAAATTGTTTTCTGTACTTGTTAAAATTATGTGTAATAATAAAACAAATATTAAATAAATGATTTTCTGTACTTTTTAAAATATATTGAAATAAAATAATAAAATATATTGACCTATAATACTTGTATAATAAAATAATATATTGCAATAGGTAGATTTATAAGAAATACACCAATAAATCATGAATAATAATAATCCGTAAGTTTTTACGTATTTGCCTGTAAAAAAAATAATATTCTGTGGCGTACGACAGTATGATGCAATAGAAAATAATTATTACTTCAATTCTCTGTATGCGTCGAAAGGAGCCGACCGATGGCGACTAATTAGAAAAGAATTACTAATTTTGTGGGAGTAGTGTATGGTCCTGCCTCTGATAACGATACGCGACGCGGTGGGTTCTCATTTGAAAAATAATATAGTTTTAGTAACCAGAACCGAGGTCGACTTTGATTATAGTTTTTCCGCTATCTTATCATCTCCATCTAGTTACTATCACGACTTATCACGAGTTACGTATCTCCGTGATTTATATTGTGGACTGTGGATTATATAATATATACCTACATACTATTACATACATTATTTACATTACATACTATAACATTGTCGAGTCGTAAGAGTGGCTAGTCTTTTAAACTCGTAGTGAAATCGTGCGGACTGCGGAGAAATGAAAAAGCAAGAAGAAACTCTTTTGCCGAAGACCCTGCACGGTAAGTGTATTCAATTACAATGATGGTAATATTGTGAAACAAGTCAATGGTACTTGTTCAATATACAACATAATGACGCCCAATTGCACATACCTAATGTGTTTAGTCCAGTAAACAATAAGACAGACCTACACGAATTAAAACAAAACAGTGTAGAATAATCTTAACAAGTACCAAGTCAATTGTGTTATGTAGTATAAATAAATTATTTTTTTGTCACAAATTTAGGTGAGAAATTTAGATGCAAAGCTGTCAACTTCCAGCTGATATTCTATTCAAAAAAGAAACATTTTGTTGGAGGTACCTATGGCAAACATTTTGAGAAAAAATATGTTTCTTGATTATTTAGAGAACAGGTTTCAGCTACACTCTATCTACACTATATACACGCTACCTACACTATTCCTAGGTATGTAAGAACTAATATAACATTCAACAGCAATAACTTTTTTACCACCTTTTATTGATTTTTATATTCAGATAGAAAAGATGAAAAGATAATAAATTGTGATGTGAGTGCGTCTTCAGAGCTGTTGACTAGTGACAAGGTTGGATCCTTTACCAATTCAACTAAAACAGTGCCTTGTGGCTCAAATACTCCACTATAAATTATTGGTGATCCTGGTAAATATATTTTATATTTATTTTTAAAACTTGTTTTTATCGCTAACTTTATACATTTAGGTTGTTCAAAATCATGCACTACTGAAATGTATAGTAATAATGAAATATTTGCTCTTAAATTACCTGGTAAGTTAATATGAAATACATTAATAAAAATTATTTATTATAATATTTTTAAATTTTGTCTAAAAATACATGGTACTACATGAGGTAGTAAATATCTAGATCTTTTACTATGATGATTTGACTACATGAGACTACACTTTTTCTCCTGGGACATCATCATCATAGTGAAAAATCTAGATACTTAGATTCTCTTATGGGTTTTATAAGTCCTAGTAGGAATTATTAATTATACAATTTTAATAATATGTAAATATATAATTTTGTGTATACGTCTTACTAAAGTTATTTAAATACGATTTAGGTTCTTCAATAGGTAATCAAACTCTTACAGTTTGGTCTGAAGTAATACCGAGAGAAGTTTTGTCACGGCATCAATTGAAAATTAGAAAGAAACTTGTCTTAAAGCTAGAAAAAACTTTCTAGGCCTGAGCAACACGGGGAATCACATACAATTGCATACAACTGGTATTTGTAACAGACAACTTGAGGTATTTATTATCAAACTTCTGATTAGTATTCATCAACACGAACCAGTAGTTAAATAAACCTATTTGCCTGAAGCATGTATAGCTTAAATTAGTAAGCACAGTTACAAGCATTTATATATGTATTTGTTTTCACACAACATATGGCTTTGGAAAATCTATTTGAAAATAAGCTCACAGCTAATTGTACGCTTTTAATTTGATCAGTAGGTATCTCTTACAGAAATTGTATATGCTAGTTTAAAATCATTTGAAATAGTGATGGGTGCAACCGACTAGTTTTACTGTCGATTGTCTATCGATAGTTTGAAAAAATACCGAGTGATTTTTCGATTGAATAGATATTATTATTCATTGGTTGTTTTTAAAACCAACAAATGAATTACTCGATAGTTTTCATTTGTTAGTGGAACCGACTAGTGTTGACTATCGATTTTAAATCGATAATTTGAAAAACTACCCACTGATTTTTTAATTGAATAGATATTTTAAATATTATTAAGCATTGTATAGTATAGTCGTATTATAACTTATGAGAAGAAAATTGAGGGTTGGTATATTTTAGGTAAATTTGTGATTGGTAAAATCTTGGGATTTAATAGTGTTATACACTTTTGCTGTGTGTGATTTGTAATACAGGGAAAGTTGATATACTAAAACACTATAAAAGTATACATTTTATCCAAACCAGTTGGCTAGAGCTTTAACTAAAGAAAAGAAACAAAGAATTTATTTTTTTAAATTTTTATCAACATGTAATCAAAATTTCAAAGGATTCCAATATGGGACAACAATAAAAAATATCCGTCCAGGGACCAGGACTACTAGAACTAGGTACATTGGTACAAGTTGAAAAACTTGTATGCAGTGTATACAGCAAGCAGGCTGTCATTGTCCACCCTATATTTCATATTTACCTTATCTCAGCTATAAATATATATACATAAAATAGCTAAAAACTACAAATTTATGGGCCAAGATAAATACTTAAAACCTTGTTTCAGATATGTTTTTAAATAAATATTATAACCAAGGATCTAACCTTAACTAAATAATATATAACCTAACATATATAAATTATGGCCATGAGTATTGAGTCTTATAAAATTCTTGAATTAATTCTTGATAATATTTGATAATTGATAAATAATAATGAATAAGCGCCAACTGTGATCAACCGATGGTTCAAAATTTTGCATGTTTGTTGTTCGATCGATGGTAAAAAAAAATGTCTATAATTTGATTAGTTTTCAATAGTTCAATAGTTCAATGGTTTGATAGTTTTTAAATGGTCGATTATTATTGGTCGTGCATTTTCAAACTAAAATTATTCAATAGTTTTATAAAACAATCGAACAATTAGATAGTTAAAATTGTCGAGTACTTCGATAGTTTACACTCAGTTGCGCTCATTACTAGTAACAAAGTTACAATATTTTAACCAACTCATTACATTAAATATTTGCATTGCCATATCGACTGTATAAAATCGATCAATTGTACAGGCATACACCATTACCAGTGGTTCAGCTATAAAATATGTCAAATAATATTATTTATTATTTTACACTATACCTAAGTGGCTTACTTATAAGTAGAGTCCGGATTTATATTCTGTTAAAACGTTTGAAATATGATGTTTATATGCAGTTGAAATTTATGAAATATTCCTAAAAATATTCTTAATATTCTCAAAATATTCTGAAAAATATTGATAATAGTAACTAATAAGCAAAAAATATAAATAATATCTTAAAACTTTTTTATTTGTTATTTAGTTATAACTTATATTAAACATGCAATATGATAATTAATTATGATTATGAATTTATAATTTATTATTATTTATATAATTATTAATTAATAATTACCTATATTATCTTATATAGTTATGTTACATAGTTATATGTTATATTACATGCAAAACATTAACATAAAAAAAAAATTATACAATGTTTTTAAAGGAATGAACAATAATATATTTTTCTAAATTTTCCGGAGTAAAGTTAGTACGGCGGTCCGTGATTATTGTCTTATATAATATGCTGAATGATCTCTCAACATCGACAGACGTTGTAGGAGAATTTTTCAGGTCTGTAGCTATACTAGGAGATACATCTTGAGGAAGTGTCACGTTGTTGTCCCCAGTTAAAACTTTTATAATTTGTATCATTAATTTAAATCCTTTATTTTTTTTCTGAAGCTGTAGCATTTTATTTTTTATTTCAGAACCTTTGGTGCCAGGAATACTTTGCATACTTGATATAACATTTTGTACCATTTCAACCGACTCAATTAATGGTAAATTTGATTTTTCTAAATTTTTTATCGTTTGAACAAGAACGAAAAAATGCGATTTTAGAAATATTAAATCATTCAGTACCGAGACCTGGGAAAATAAATCTGTACATTTTTCTATGCTTATTGCTGAATCGTTTTCGAGTCTTTCTAACACTTCTTTTAATAATTCTTTTATTAATAATTTTATTACTTAGTGTTATTACTTTTAATATTGGAGTTTCGAGACTCGTGGCCTCATGCGGGTATTTCATTTTATCAGTACCTATATAAATATATTTATTTATGACAAACAATATTGATTATAGGAAATTATCGAGTCGGTGACTACAAATTAAAAATAAGTTCAAAACTCAAAAATATTTATTTAATATAATCCAATATAGCGAAAATATAAATATAAATATAAATACAAAATATAAATACAGCATACGCTTGTTAAAAATATGTTTTTTCATAAAAATCCGGACTCTACTTATAAGTCATAATAAATATGTAGTAATATGAAAAAACAATTATTTATTATTATTTAGTAGTTCTTAATTTTTTTTTTTTTTTGTGTAGTGTAGCTTGTTATAATGAATTGTATTCTTCAAGTTCTGGTGTATATTATTTTTAAGACAGTTAAAACTAGTATAAATATACTTGAATTGTTGTCATAGTTGTAATAACCTCGAATATCTTTCAATAATATAATTTTATGCACCTAACTAATTTACTATTATTATGTTTGTAGTTATAAATATGATACACAATTTTTATTTGATCTCTTAATTTATATACATTAAATTAGATAAAATATTTAATTTTCTTTGGGTACCGCAACAGAATGAGGAACACCTTTATAGATGTCGTGTATGTGATAAATCCTTGTATTGTCAAATACAATTTCGTGATCACATTCATATGGTCTATAACCAGCCAACTCCAAAAACCTCAAATAGAGTAAATGAAAAATTAAATATTCTAAGAATTCTTTGCGTCCTAATTATTTAATTTTATTTTTAGGAAAGAGAAACTGATGCCATGTGAAAAATGAAACCTGAGCCTGGACAAGTACAAGAGGATGAATAAAGTACAACCGTACTCAAACAGTAAGAGGCTGCTAGCACATCGGATGAACTCTATACATAGTGAAGAAAACCCAACCTAGTAATTTAAAATATATAAAAAATTGTATTTTATTAAATCTAGAAGTTCTAAATTTGTATTTTACTATTTCGTAAATGCAAAATATGGGTTACGTGTAGTTTTTTTTTTCAAGCGTACTCGGCAATATGTTTTAAGACTTGTTTAAATGCATACAAATATGTACAAATCTTTGTCGTAGTTTTAATAATTTTGAATACACGCGTCTCGGTCTAAAAGACTGTCTTTTTTTATTGTTTTATTAAGTTTAATTAACTACACTCAACTATTTGTATTTTTTTATCATTAATATCATAATTTAAATATATAATATATATTAGGGTACTTTTTTTTTATATATTGTCTTTTCATTTAAAAGAATTTCTTTCAATAATATAATTTTATGCAACTAACCATTGATTATATAATACACAGATAAGCAATGCCATATAAATATTCGTTTTCAATTAATTTCTGGCAGCCACTACGGAGCGCTCACAGCAACCGCTTTCAGACATTAGAAACGCTTTCGGCTTTTGGTATATATACGTTATACAACCTGAATGAAAAATAATACTGTCATTGAGTTAATAGGTAACGGTCCAATATGCGACATACGTTATAAATGTAAAATACAAATAATTTTATCTATCATCTTTTGGCGCCTAAACTATAAAGACGCAATTCCGTATTTATTGTGTTAATATTATAATTTCGTTTTTTACTACTTAAATATTCCATAAGTTGGCCTTTACATATAACACCGTCTTTCACCTTTATACACGTCATCGGATTATAGGCCAGAAGTAACTCTAGGTCTTTTAAATATTGTACACATACCACTTCATCTCTAATAATGTTCCTATATAGGTGACCAATAGTAGTCATGTTGAGTTAGAACATAAAAATTCACACGCACAAAATAAAACTCAAATAAAAAATCACAAAACAAGCGTACGACACATACAAATGAAATCGGAACCGTTCTGACTGAGGACAGTATAGTATTATAAATGATTGTAAGTTGGTACCTATCGGAGAACAAAAATAAAATAAAATAGAATAAAATCCCCATAATGACAATAACTGCGATAAAGAAACCTGTAGATCAACTCAATATTATCGGTAGGTCGAGTAACATTTGTAGGTCGCATATTGGACCGTTACCAGTTAATAAAAACTGAAACCGAAACTTCCAACTGAAATTAATTTTTTTTGGTCAATATAATATACCTAAATGTACAGAACAACAGAACCCTTGTCACATCTTGATTTCACTCGTGGATTATTGTTCTGTTAATACATTTTGTTTGCCGTTGAATTTTAGAATTTCCTATTGTACCTAAATTTTTATATTCATTATTTAAATTTTTAAATTTTTATATTTATTATTTAAATAAATTGCCTGGTACAAAATGTCAATATGTGGGATGCTTAAAAACAACTGTAAAGTATCCCCAACTGTATATGTTTCGTTTCCCAAAGAACGTAGCACAATAAGAAACATGGTTAATGAATTGCGGTAAGCTCCAAAATAATAATTTTTTTTATTCTTACATTTTAATATACACTTAAAATAAAATTATAGGAAACACACAATTATTGTCACTTGACAAATCCCAATTGTACAATCCTTACATTTGTAAGGAGCATTTTGGACCAGATTCATTCATGAATTCTGAAAAAAAAAAATGAAAACCACTTTCTGTACCATTTAATTTCAATTCGGGTGAGCGTCCAAGTGTTTCAATTGGTTAATGTATATATTATTATATTTAAAAGGTTTTGGGTAAAATTAATTAAACAATAAATTACAATATAATATAATATATATTATAGGTAGTGCTTACATAAAATAATATAATATTCTGTTTGAAAACAATAATAATAAAAATACAAAAAAAAAAAATTCCTCACTTTAATTATTTTTCTTTAGGAAATTATATAATACCCTCTGATTTCATGTTGACTCACACAAAATGCTTGACTCCAACTAAAATGTATGATCAATATAAAGAATAATTCAGAAGGTGAAATACTATTTTCGAGTCCACCATTAAATATTTTTACACCAACACAAAGGTGTAGAATCAACAATTTAATTGAAATGCCAAGCCCTACTTCTATTTGAAAACGTAACCTTCAAGATGATTTAGATTCACCAATAAAAAAAAAATTAAAAACAAAATTGATAAATAGCAATAGAAAGTTGCATAGTAAAGTTACCATTATTTCAAAAATGAAAAAAAAATTAGTTACACTAAAAACAAGAAACACATTACATAATATACTACACTCACATAAATTTTCATCTAAAAACTGAAAACTGAAAAGTAAAAAACGCCCATGGACAGAGGATGAAAAGAACTTTGCTCTTTCTTTATTTTATAAATCACCGGCCGTATATAAATTTTTAAGACTTCAAAAAGTAAATTTACCAGCTCCTTAGCTCCTTCCACAATCCGTAATTTTATTGGAGAATCTAAGTTTTTACCGGGCTTTAATAGATCATTTTTAGAACATATAAAAAAAAATTTGAAGCTAAAAGCTACTAAGAAAAGACCTGTAGTGTTTTATTCGATCAAAGAGTTTTTGGAATATTCTAAGCAATACAACTTTGTTGAAGGTTTTGAGGATATTGGTAAAATTGGAAGAGGAAATAAAACTGCCAATACAGCACTTGTTTTTATGGTTAGAGGCATATATTCATCTTGGAAATTTTCTGTTACAAATTACATTTGTAATGCCGTGTATAACTCTATTATAACTAGGCTTAATATTTGTTTTCCTTTTATATGACAGTAAGTAATAAAAACAGTTTTCTCAATTAAAAAGTGCAAAAATAAGTTTATTATAATATTAATAATTATAAAAATATGTGGGAACAAAAAGATATTATTTAAATGGGAAATTTATTTCAAGTATCATATTTTTATTTATATTTAATTGACATCAGTGATTAAAAGAAATGATTACATGATCAATAATTTATTGTTTAAAAATGTTACAACGGCGTATTAAAAAATTAAATTACAATAATTCCAAATTCATTTTAAACAATCACTCATTTAAAAAAAATTAAGGAAATATTTCATTTGAATGCTTTTGCGAGTCTGGTTGGAAATTTACTGCAGGCGCCATTTGTTGGATCTATGGAGTAGATGTATGCATGCCACCTTGATAATGTGATGGTTGCTGTGGATTAATAGAAGCTGTCATTGAGGTGGACTGAAAAGATGAAAATGTGGATTGCTGATAAGATGATGGTAGGTAGCTGGGTGTGGGATGCTGTTGATAGGATGATGATGATTCCATGCCAGCCATTACATCAGTATCCTCCATCAAAATTGTTGCATTTTTTTGGTTACTGCTGCCATTTAGGTTATTTCTTTTTGATGACACTGGTTTTAGTTTGAAATTATTAAACCGTTTTGCAGTTTCCTGAAATGCAAAATGTTTGAAAAATTACATATACATAAAAATGAAACAAAACACAAATTCACTTACTAATAATAACGCATGAGTGACTTTTGTTACATATAACATATCGCTAATTATACTCCAACCACTCCCAACTGGCACTAAACAGAATGTCCTGCAGAATGGTCTATAAGTGTGTGTAAATTTATCGTAATAGTTATTTTCTATAAAATTTTCAACAAACACACCGTTTACTACAATCTGAATCATTGCAGCCTGAAATAAAAAAATTTAAAACTTTGAATAAAAAAATAATTTTAAAAACAAGATATTTACAGTTTCCAATGGAACATCAACAATGAATGAACCAATATCGTGCTTGGTTTTAGGTAACTTGTCTAAAAAGTTTATGATGTCTTCTTTGCCTTTATGTAAGAACCCACGTCTTCCATGTCTGTTTTGGTCAAATTTCAAAAAATTTCTACTTTCAGCATGATACTTTAATGCACTTTTTTTAAGACTAAAACTAAATATAATAAGAATTATTAAACAGAATTTCAATTAATGGGTTTTCATATAGTGTGTCCGCGGAAACAGGGTACACTTTACCACTCATTACGCTGTACATATTTTTCAATTTTGTTTTCAGTTCATTAAATTAGACTATTGGATCTTTAATTTCGATTCTTACAATTATATTAACTCATGTATCTTGCGCATGCACAATAAATCTTACATTTTTTTAAATGGCAACCTGTAATTTGAATGTCATATTCGGGTACATCGATTTTTTTCAAGCCATTTTGATGTATCAACTTGTGTCCTAAACCCAAAATTGACTAAACTAGAGCTAAGTAAAATTTAAAAAATTTAAAAATTCAATTTAATTAACTTTTTTTTTTAAAATTCTGAGCGGAGCAAGGAAACTAGTGGTTTTACAATGGTGTTTATTTTTTTTTTTTATATCCTGTATACAAAATTTCTACCAGAAGGAGTGCTTTGAATTCAACATATAGTACCTTATCTTTTAGCAAACTGGACCAAGATGGTACTTTAGAGAGGTCATTTTTCGATTTTCTCAATAGTTATTTAATGCCACGGGAAAAAGTACTGAAAAATTACGAAAAACCGCTTAAAATGGGATTTTAATTTCTAACAATTTGTTTATCACCGTAGCAACGAATAAAAAAAAGGTGGGTAAGTGGATGTCGCTCTGCTGTACAGTAGGTTACAAGTGTGTCACTGGATAATGGATGCTATTAAATTTGAATTCAATGATACAATATCATTGTATAAGAAAAACGATTCTGAGCTAAGACGGTATGTCAGTCTAGGTTTAAGAAAAATTGTATACATATCTATGGTATTAAAAAAAATTGACCTATAATAAATTCCAAATTAATCATATCACATTATCACAATATCCATTAGGTACTAATTATAACACGTTATACATCAACATCAATAACAATCCCTGATACTATCATAGATATATAATAGTACACTTTAGAAGTTTCAAGTAGGTACCCACGAATAATATTATATAATCACAACAAAATAACTAGGTTTTTTAATATGTAATTTCGTCCAAATTTAAACATAAAATGACTATAAAAATAAACTGTGAATGTATATTGTTTAGATTTTTCGGTAAGAGAATTAACTATTTCTTGTTTCAAATGTTCAATCCTTAGCTATAAAAACTGAACATTTTATAATTTATTAATTACGATGATTAATAATTTTCGAGATTTTAAAAAAATCTATCAAAATTCGATGTTTGAATGTTTATAAAAAAAAATTGTACCTATGTATTTTTAATATTTTTCAACTGATATTGTAACAATATATCAGGAGCCTTGTATTAAATGTTTACACTTTTTGGCCCAAAAGATAAAACTTTATTTGATATTCATAGAAAAAAACTAAAAAAATTGAAAAATGAAAATATCCGTAAACAGCTCAAAAAGAGTCAAAATATTTTCAAAATTGTATGGTGTATAGGAAATGCTTATATAAACATTCAGTGAAATTTTTATGTATCTATAGTTATTCGTTTATGAATAACAACAAAATAAGGAAATCCCTAAAAGAGAATTCGAGTGAACATCCAATGTTGTAAAATTTTGAATAAAAATTTAATTTGACTGTCCGGTAGAGATTTTTTTATTGATGAAGGTAGACAAACTTATGAGTAATCTTTTATTACATTTTCAAATCTTAGATTTAAAAAGAAAAATTTATACGAATTCTTAACTCAAAATAATTTGCTAATTTTCGTGATTTTTCCATATTTTGTCAATTTTTGAACTTTAAATGCTTATAAAAAAAAATTGTGACTAAGGATTTTTAATATTTTTCATCTGCCTTTGAAACAATATATTAGGAGCCTTCTATTAAATTTTCAAGCTTTTGCAACCAACAAATAAAATTTTATTGATATTTCTAGAAAAAAAAACTAAAAAAAAATGAAAAATGAAAATGTCCCTAAACAGCTCAAAATAAATCAAAATATTTTGAAAATGTTATCGTGTATAGAAAATGCAAATATAAAAACCAGTGAAAATTTCATGTATCTACGGTCATTTATTTTAAAGTTACACCAAAAACCAAATTCATTTTTCTGAAAAATCGATTTTGCGTAAAAATTCCCGTTTTTCCTTAATTTTTCTTTTGTTTTTCTTGGCGCTTTTGAAAAGTACTGTGAATTTTGACCTCCCCAATGCACCAACGATATTCATTTTCCAATCGAACAAGATACTGAAGTCGAAAATCGAAGCATTATTTCGACTACTTATCGTGTACACAGACACAAAAATAAAAAATAAAAACACATATCATTGTAAAATCAATACATTCATCGTTCCACTCAGAATCTAAAATAATAATTAAATAAATAAAATAATTAATGACAATATAAAATATACAGACTGACAAACCGTCTCCGTTCAGAATCGTTTTTCTTATACAATGATATTATATCATTGAATTCAAGTTTAATACAATCCATTAAACAATGACCAACTTGTAACCTACTGTTCAGCTGAGCGACATCCACTTACCTGCCTTTTTTTTATAACTGTACGTACTTATTTTTTTCTTCTAAATACCATGAAACAAACAATCAACATCATTATTATTAAACTAATGAACTATTTATTATTTATGAATTATTATCTTATTTTATTATTACACATTTTAAAATTGCATAATATGGTCTTAATTGGCCGAAACCAAAAAAGAAGAAGAAGTGTATTTTTGTTTCCATCAGAATTATAATTAAGTATCTATTAAAAAATAATGAGCATTGGTGTTCCTAGTTTTGTTATCTACCTATACATATTAAAATGTCATTAGCTATTTTTATATTAGGTATTATGGAACTCATTATCAGAGTTATGTGTCATTGCGGTCTTAGTAGTTCGACGTTTTTTGTTCGCTATTTTCAATACCTTTAGGTATTATAAAGTTATAGTTTGATTTTTGTTAGAATAAAATATTAATCATGAATAATAGTGAAAGAGTTCAGTTACTATTGATCTACAGAAAATGTAACAGAAACGCACGAGAAGTAACAAGAATGTACGCTCAGCAATATCCAGATCGGTATCACCCCAATCGTACTTATGTTCAAAAACTTGAAAAGTCATTGATTGAAACTGGTTCATTTAATAGAAAAAATGCTGTTCAACAACAACCACGGGTAAATCAACCTTATAATGAAGTTATTGAAAAAAATGAAATAGAAATTTTGTTTCTTGAAAATACATGATTAAACTATGTTATTGCATAATGTGTAATAATAAAATAAGATGATAATTCATAAATAGTAAATAGTTAATTAGTTTAATAATAATAATTTTGATTGTTTGTTTCATGGTGTTTGGAAGAAAAAAAGTGTACCCTGTTTCCGTGGACACACGGTATACACCTACTTAGGAAAATAACTGGATAACGTAAATGTGGCTTTTTCATGGTAAGCTACCGATACTATTTGTCTAGACACTTGGTTATCGTATAGTACATAATATTGATTGAGAAATGATTCTACAAAAGTCATAACTGGATTTGGCAGTTCAGGATTATGGCCTTCTGGTATTGGATAACTATTACCCAAGTTAATTGGCATTTTAAGCTTGGATCCGATAAACCCACTGTAAAGAAACGGCAGTTCTGAGTTATCCTAAAAACAATTAAATAGAGCTACTATTACACATATATTTAATACATGCAATTATTGTATTGTAATTATGTTAAAATTGTGTACGAGGTTCACGTTGATTCAAAAAACCACCAATCACGGTCTCAATGTATAATTATCTTTCAAACTTGATTATCATTGAAAGACTCGTGTACATATTGATTTAAAATTTAAAACAGGTAAGATGTATTTACTATAGACATCTTACCTTAGAATACACCAAAATTAATCATATAACAGTTAAGCTAATACTACAAAAACATTGTTCTTGTGGTTCCCAGCTAACACTTAGTATACAAATGAAATAAGATAAAAGAGATGACACTTACCAACTTGTTTAGCATAGGAAACAATTGTTGTACATCTCTAAAACATATGTAGTATGAATATATGGAAAGTAGTGTTAAATCTGAAGCATAAAAAAAATGAGCATACCGTTTGTAACGTTCTTTATCCTCTGTATTGCACATAGGATTTCTGGACAAGTTCAGCTCGCGAATGGTGTAACCTGAGAGACACCTTAGATGTTTTAAATCAGAAAACTGCAACAAAAATTTTTTTTTGAATATAGGTTTAATAAAAAAAAAGAACATATTACTTTGTTCCCAGCTAAATCCAAAACTTTCAGTTCAGGGAATAACCTACGTATCCATACAAGACCTTCATTTAAATATATGTGATTATTTTCAAGACATAAACTATACAAGTCATGTTTGGTATGTTGAGCAACCATGTTGAGTGCTGCCAAAAGAACAGCTGGTCGATTTAATGGTACAAATAGTTGATTATTAGTAAACACTAAAACAAAAATTAACATTATGATTATATATTTCTTTTAAAACTACTATTCTTAAGGGTGTTGGTGCGAGTTTTTCTAATTTTCAAAAATTTGAATGTATTGATTTTACAATGATGTGTGTTTTTTTTTAAATTTTTTAAATTTTTTTTCACTCGATTTCTCATGTAGCGATTTCCTTATTTTGTTGTAATTCAAAAACGAATAACTGTAGATACATGAAAATTTCACTGAATGTTCATATTAGCATTTCTTATACACTGTACAGTTTTGAAAATATTTTGACTTTTTTTGAGCTGTGTACGGACATTTTCAGTTTTCAATTTTGTTAGTTTTTTTTCTATAAATATCAATAAAGTTGTATCTGTTGGGCCAAAAAGTGTAAAAATTTAATACAAGACTCCAGATATATTATTACAATAGCAATTGAAAAATATAAAAAATACATACGCACAATTTTTTTTTATAACCATTTAAAGATCGAATTTTGACAAAATTTATCAAAATATCGAAAATGATCAATCATTGTAATTAATAAATTATAAAATGTTCAGTTTTTATAGCTAAGGATTGCAAATTTAAAACAAAGGTTCTCATAAATAATTCATACTGTAACCAAAAAATCTAAAAAATATGAACACAGTTATTTTTTACAGACATTTTAAATTCAAATTTGGACGAAATTACATAATAAAAAACCCAGAATAACTATTTTAGTTATTTTGTTGTGATTGTATAATATCATTCGTGGGTACTTGAAACTTCTAAAGTATACTACTATATATCTATGATAGCATCAGGGTTTGTTGTTGGTGTCTAACGCGTTATAAGTACCTAATGGATATTGTGATATGATTAATTTGGAATTCATTATAGGTAAATTTTTTTTGATACCATAGATATTAGATAAGTATATAATATGTCTTATACCTAGAAGCCTAGAAGGACATACCGTCTCCGCTCAGAATCGTTTTTCTTATACAATGATATAATATCATTGAATTCAAATTTAATACCATCCACTTGTAACCTACCGTACAGCAGAGCGACAACCACTTACCCAGCTTTTTTTTATTTAAAAGAGAAGATATTTCAGGTTGATCAAAGACTGAATTTTCATTTTGCTATAAATAGTAGTAAAAAAATACATATAAAAAAAGAACAATTAATATTGTGCGCCTTTTTCAAATTAATATTTTAGCTTTTAAAATTATAATTTTGAAAATTGGGCTTTGAACCGACCTACAAAATGTTCTTTTCTTTCAAATGAAAAAAACAATTAAAAACAACTGACAATTCTACAAGGCGTGAGAGGTTTTTCCTCTTAGACATGTTTTTGTATTCAAAACTGCACCATCTAATTAATATAAAATAAACTGTACATACATGAACAAGCATGGAATTGTGACAAATCTAAACTCTTGTTACTATGATTGTAACGGGTTGCTATGGCTTCTATCATTTTCTCTCTCAATTCACTGGATACTGGTGTGTATGATATGAGATAATGTTGAGGCAAATATAATTCCACATTTATAATTAACTAAGCACGATTAATATTCATGTTAAAATACATTTTTAAAACTCAAATATGTACCTACAACAAACAACTGAACAATATCAACTTACTTTTCGATCATCTCTTTGTGTTATCTTATAATTTGTGTTGTACAATGTATTAGCAATTTTAAAATCATCAACCAAAAAACTTAATCCATTATCAAAATATTGTTTCTGTAAAATAAATATTGATAATTTTCATACATTCTTAAATCATACAAAGAGTATAAGAAAAATAGAAATAACATACATTGTATGGATAAAATGCAAAAGGTGTGATATAAGTTTGTATCATTTTAAGAACTTCTTCACAATCTTCAACATTTAGCACCTTAAAAACCAGAATAAATTAAATTCAAACTTAAACAATAGGTAACCAATTAGATATATTAAAAATCTAGAGCTTACAGATACTGAATACCATCCAGTTCTACTTTCTTTTAAATCCTGTGATAAGTTTCTGAAATTACTATTACCACCATGTCCAAGGTTTCTTTCAGGAAAAGATTTATTAAGTTAATATTTATAGGGATATTAATAGATTTTAGAAATAGTAGGTAACAACTTACAAAAATAAGATACATACCGTTGACCAGTATTATTTCTAGGTGGACCACTTGAATTAGGAAACTCACTATCCAGTTGATAACCATTGTTGATGACCAAATCAGTTTTACTTTCACAACTTTTACGAAAATTAACCCCTCCACGGTGGTTTGCTTTGAATGTCACTTTTTTATTTAAACCATGTAGATCTGAGTACCCATCACGTCCTCGACTAGTGCTAGGTCTTGAAATTTGATCATCATGATCACTACTCCGTTCTCTACCTGAAATTTAGAAATCTAATATTAGCAGTGATAGAAAAGAATGTGATCAGATAAACCCATTAGTTTTGTTTGAACTGCATATGAATGTGTTCAATTTTCATGAAATCGATTTGACAATTTATGGTTTGTTTATTGGCGATTGATACAATAAAGTTCTTAGATAAAACGTATAAATTACCAATATCTTATAGTTTATATTAAGTACACATTAAAATAAAAAATTTCATTGTACATTAAATATTTTAATTTACAAAATGTACGGTGTGAGTCATTAGGCACAATATAAGATTAAAATATTGTAGACAGTAACAGGAATTAGATACTTTATACATAACAAATACAAATATTATTAAAACTGATTTATTGGAATGATCGAAGCATGTCGTGGATAGGATTGTTATGGTTATATTATAATGTAGTGTATAGGTATGCCAAATTGTTATTGATTATGGGTATTACAAAAGGGTACTCTGAAGGATATATCTGAAAGTATATTGGGTGGGTCTTGCAACAATGGTAAAGACATGATAAGATTCTGGTAAACTTTGGAACGGCAAGAACGGAGTGATTTTAATGTTAAAATGTTTAGTATTATAATTTTTAAAAACAATAACTTTGGTGGTTATTACCTAAGAATACTTATATTTTTTCAGAAACAAAAAAAAACAACAAATTTTCTTAGATAGGTAAAAGTTGGTGAGGCTGGAGCAACTTTATATCAAAAGTGATAACTAATGTACAATGTACATAATAAAATAATGCAATATAGTATGGTATATAGGTACCAAATGAGTGGCGAGATGGCATCATCGTAATTGAATGAAAATAGAAGTACGTTAGTAGTAAATTGGTAAATAATAAGTTGACCAAATTCTTATTAGGTAGTAGATGCTTTTTGAGCACCACTCCAGTCCGTCCCACAACAACTAGCACACCGTAAAAGCTCTATTTGTACTATATACTCACGTAAATTCGAGTTATGAAACCATCCATTGCTGTTACGTCCTCGTGATCTACCAGCCATTGCGTTCAGTAAGTCCTACAAAATCTAAAATATTACGGAGATTACCTACTATACTACCGTACGTAGTCTAAACAGTAAACAAGTAAACAACTCACTTACTCACGTCAAAATATTCACATCACACTGTCACAGTGTCAGGTGTCTTCGTCGCACAAAGCAACAAGCGTCTCATTGCAGCTTGGCAAATTGGCTGCTGCGAGCGTAGCTCCCTTATCACACCATTATCACCATTACTTTCAAATATGATAATCTGTATAAGCGCGCGTGAATTTGAAATAAAAAATATTATCAATTTATGATGGCAGTTGTTCTAATGTTAATATTTTTAGTTTCAAAAATAGATCATTAGTAAAATAATAATTGTTCATTAGTACTCTTAAAGAATTCTATGCGCAGTGCCGCAACAATTGGTAGTGCAAAATTCACTCAGGCTTCCACCTCTAGGGGGACATTTTAAGTTCAAATTTGTATGATTATTATGTTGTATTATTTATTTATTTATTTATTTTGAAATTTAAGCTATTACTTCTATAGTCCTTATTGTATTTTAAAAATAACAATAATAATATTGCGGCACATTCTATGCGTTATAATTAATGGTTCTAATATAATTTTATAAATTGAATCCCATACAATTAGATCATACAATAATACAAACTAAACTAATGTGAAATACACCATTTTTGGACTAGTAGTATCTAGAAAATTCCCATATTATAATTTATAAGTAATCTTGGCTTGTAAATTAAAAACAAAACTGACAAATGAAAATATTTAAATAAATATTGACATACTTAACAATGTATATTATTATTTTTAGTTTTATCAACATTAGGAAATATTCCTAGTTACTTGTGTGCACATATTTAGATATATGACATCTGTTTTATTCAAGTCCAGATACTATATTATTGATTGATATACAAAATATTTAAAAATTCAAAATAATACATAATAACAAGAAATGTCCAAGTCATAAATCTTCTAAAAATAAGTTATTAATACCACGATTGCTTGAGTCAAAAGAAGATATGTTGAATGCAGCAGCTAATTATTATGGACGTTCTTTAGATTTAGAAACAAATTAAAAATACCAAACATTATTTGTCCAAGGGAATTGATAAATTTGAAAGTTCCAAAGACTTAAATAATCTTGCTTTGTTGTATACAAACATGGGTCGCTTATATACACTTGTGTCGTATTATTCATCACAGCACAAGTTTCTTTAGAAGAATTTTTAAATCATGAGGATTGCACTAACAAGGTTAGTTGTTTGTTTTTAAATTGAAATTAATTATTTCAGTTGACTGTATAATATTGAAAGCCATATAATAATTTTTTACTAATATTTTAGGCTGTGGAAAGCTACATGAAAGGTCGGGCAGTTCTGGGTTAACCTCATAATAATACAAACCTCTGGGACATTATTTGTTGGGACTTAGTCAACAACCTTTTATAAGATTGCTGTACAATCTCAAAACGATCCATCTTTATTCAGTTTAAATGTATGGTATTCAGTTCAATGGTTATAAAATATAATAATAATATTATCAAAAATGTTAATACTAAAATGTATGTATGGCCAAGGAAAAAAAATATGGGGAGGCAGAAAAATTGTCTGTATTCAACACTGCAGCGACTAAAACTGATTTTTACATATTATAACATATTATATTATCGTATATATACGTAATAGCATTATGCGCTGGCTGACAAGATAACGTTCTTCCACACTTCTTTGGAATGACAGAATTTACTTAAAATTAAATTAAAATCTCTCAGATTTAACAGCACAACAGCAGGTAAGTTAGTAACAAAATATTTTTTTAAGATTCTTAGGAGGGCGATGTTGAACGAATTGGCTTACACAATCATGTGTGACGTGTGTCTGACGACGATCTTTAGGAGCAGTTAAAATGCTCTGATTTTCAACTTCCTATGTAGTTTCTGCCTTTCTGATTGCAAATCGGATTTATTTGTACTTTGGTAAAAGTTGTAACATTCTCAGTAACTTAAATTTTGAACATAATCGGGAAAACAAAATATACAATTTTAAAAACAAACATGTGTAAGTACCCAAGTTTTTGACAAAATTGATTTAGTTTTTTTATACAATATGACTAAGCACATAAGTAGATATCGTCAGTAGGATTCTCCCATCACGTCTTCATGTTTACTTAGTTATAGGCTTCAGGTTGTACTGTAGTAGTGTAGTGCCTAATGAAGTAGACTTCATAATAAGCATATTTATTTTATGATAACAATATATTATATATTATTAATTATTATAAATATTAAAATAAATTATTTTATCATTAATAATACAGTAGCTAGGTTGAATTCATGTTTGCCGAAAACATTGTATTTAAAAATGTCATTGTGTGTATAAAATATTAAAATATAAAATGGCGTATCTACGGGGGTTATGGGTGACATAACCCCTTTATGAAAATCCTAGATAGGGTACTGGGCCACGAGCAGCGATCGATTAATATATTTAAATTACAGCATAATAATTTATCTATAAATAACTATAAAATAATTTTTCGTTTAAAATACTTTAAGTACATAGTACATAGGTATATTTAGGTATAGTAGGTAGGTACCTATATTTAATTTTGTCCTAATTTTAAATTATAATAGATAGCCAACTATAAAAATCCTTGTTTGTATATATTTTTATATTTTTGGTTACAATATAAACTAGGTACTGAATATGAAAATTATGTGTAAGTACCTACGTATTTTTTTAATTCCCTTTTCTATCTGTTCTCACTTTTTGGGGGCAGAAAAAATTTCACCACACCGGTAAACATAATAAACTTTCACGTGGCTAAAACCTTCAACATATTATTTTATTGAGATATTGTATGCGTAACAAAAATATTGTTAGTTAATGTTCTGTATGGGTCCCAGTGGTGCAGGGAGCACGTGGACATAATCATGTTCAGTAGGGCCATTATTATGTTGAAATAAATAAAATCGTACTCTTTAATGTTAAATACAAGAAACAACATTTTACTGTGTAAACAGAATAATTTTATTAGAACATACCTATAATATGTTGACATTTTTTTAAACAATTTTGATAGTAATTATGCCGAAAAAATGAAATACAATACAACTTGAGTTGTAATAAAACAATATTTATAATTATTTTAAATAAAAAAAAAAGTCATCGGACAAGACGAGGCGATGTGTGGGGAGGGGTGGGTACGTGATGGCGAGTGGGTGGGGATGCAGATAATGATGGCCACTGGTCACCTGTACACAGTTCTCACGGCCAGTCCTGCGGGGCGGATGAGAGTCGCGGGCGCGTTTGCTCTGGACGCGAAGACGACCATAGAAGCGGACGAAGCCCGGCCTCGACGGCTGCGAGAGCGATGACGACTGTTGGCAACGAGCGGCTAGTGCGCGATGTAGTGCGCTTGACGGTACTGCAGGCGCTGAAGACGACTTTTGTGCCGGCGACGAGGGTGACCAAAGCTCGGAGCGAGCGACGAAGACTATAATATCGGATCAGACCACTGGTCGAAAAAGGGAGAGAATCTGCAGACAGCATCGCAACGCGCCGCTGTCCTGATCCTCTCCGTGGTTTTCGCCCTGGCGTCCCGTCGGCCCCGCCGTGGAGTCGCGCACCGCCAAACTCTGAAACGTTTCGTTTCCTCGAGTCCGGCGCTGCTGACGTCCGTGGCCCTGCAGGCCATCCCGTAATCATAGTCAATACACGTGTGTGAACTGTGTGTATAATATATATATATATATATAAATATATAATATAATAATGGTACAAATATATACTATGTGAGTGCATATGTCGTGCACACTCTATATATACATACCTATACCCTATCGATCGTATAATAATTAATGAGTATTACAGTCCATAGCTAATAGCCGGTCGCTCGATGACAGTGTAGCTATCTCGCGTCCATCGTTGTACACATATTTGCACTGCACTCGAAACGACACGCGGCTGTGGCGGTCGACTATATAATAATATGTATCGGTCCATCTGCAGCAGCAAAGCTTTTCCCATGTGAATATCGCGTGTAATGTATATATACATACACGTAAAGCTGAGCACATATTTTACGCTGCCCCGTTATCACGTCGTGTCCAATTTATTCGTCGTTGGGTCGGCAAAAATATTATCATTATCGACAAACAGCTATCGGCCGCCGACCGCGGGCTATTCCGAACCCGAAAGGTTTTCGCAATACACACATAATAATATATATGTCATATTTATTTACGGGGATGTGTGTATGTGTGTGGGGGAAGGGGGTGGTTTGTGGTATATACGTGAGTGTACGCGATGTATAATAATTTGTAATAAATTATAATATTATTATCATTATCATTATTAAGTGTTATTATAGGTATATTATTATTATCTTCGTCGCAATATCCGTTGATAAAGGCGCGGCCGGACCGTTGCGAGATTTATCGCCACCGAAAGTTGTATTGCTTTCTCACACACTGTATCCGCACAGTATAACAATATATATATATACGTATATTATAGTTTATAATATATTTAGCAGCCGATTCGACTCTTTTGTGGAGTGCGCTGTAATTATACAATGTCATTATAAAATACGAGCGTGGAGCGTGTATACAATAATATATAATATATTAATATATTATAAAGCATTGGTAATCTGAAATCGGCGAAACGGTAATAATGGTATTTTATAATAATAAATCCGGTCTTTTGACTTTGGTGTTAAATGAACCGGAATTTTGGTACGTATGTACGTATAATATGATAGCCCCAAATGCTGCATGCTCATAATAATTAATAATATTTAATTTCACAAATATTATTATGACCTTTATTATTATTAAGAAAAAAATATTTTGATAATTTTTTTTATTTATTTATAAATAATAAAATATTGTTCTGAATTATTAGTTATTTATTTTGAAGTGCCATCTTTTATAGCTCTATATAAACAACGAACGTTTCTTTCTTTATTTCTTACCACCGTAAAAA